CTGAAGATCCCGTGATTAAAGGTTCTAAATTTTTGTCAGTATCACCGAACAAAGGCTTTGTGCAGAACCAATGGCAGTAAGCTTGGTCGATGAATTTGTAACCCTCGTCGTGAAGAATCCATGTCGACGACGAGACGAATCTGCTCCGTGGTGTCAAGAGATTTCAATCTCAGCTTCGGAAATTGTATCATGGGATTTGACAGAAATACTCTGCTACAGTATAATAAAAATTCGAGCTCATCGAAGTAGGCAAGTGTTCATAATTCTCATCCCCAATCTCGACTTTCGTACAGTAACAGTGTATTTGAATTATTGGTTTTGTCGTTTCTCTATATACAGGCTTATTCAGGAATCCTCTTATTTCCATGGCCTTCTAAATGGAAGCTTCAGGTACTTCTGTCTGAATTCATGTGTCTGCTTAAAATCCTTTGTTCTTGTGTTATGTTCTGTTGTGTGTATATTAGATTATAACTGGATTTTATAACAGTGAATCAGGTCTTGATCATATCTCTATAGAATGGAATCCAGAGAATTTTTTGAATCTTCTCAAGTGTATGTATGGTTGCTCCATGGATGTTACATCCACTAGTTTCTTAAATTTATTCGAGGTTAGCTTTTTTTTTGTATCAATCCTTTGCTCTCTTTTGTTTTCTCTTGTTTTTGTAGTTTATGCTAATTATGGATGTATGAATGGAGACTATAGGCTGCACTTTTTTTTGGTGTGGAGAAGCTTCTCTCTAAATGTCAAAACTGGCTTTCAGTGTTGTCTTCATCGAAAGACCCCGCATCACCACGACTAGAATTGTTTGACCTTATACATATTTGGAGCTTTGGTCTCGAGCATGGTATGAATCTCAAGAACCCTTTAAACAGTTGCTAAACTAGTTAGTTTTTTTTTTTTGTTGAATTTCTGGTGTCGTGAGGAGTACAAGTTATTTGAATTTTACATTAGGCTTTGTAGATGTTATGTTTTGACATTATTATACCTCTAACACATAATTTGTGATACTTACAGCTGGAGAATTTTTGACAGATCTATGTGTGGCCTATCTTGCAAAGAATTTCGTATGTAACTCAATTCCTCTACTAACTACTCTTTTTGTTTTGATTTTAGCCTTTTACCACTCAGTCTTCTCGTCTATCTTTTCATAATATTTGTTCTGATGCTAGAAGCCTAGAAGCTTGTTTTCTTTTTATTGGCCATGTGTTTGTTAATTAGTTTATCTTCTTCTTTTTTTGTAGTAACTGGTCTGAAAGATCTAACTTCTTCCTATATGTCTTCTACAGATGATGGTAAAATCTGATAAGTATTTTGGAAATGTTCCATATGAGTTGTTGATGTGTTGCATAAAACATCCTTATCTGACTGTACACAGGTAATTTTGTGCTCATTATCTATTTTTATCTATGCAAACATATGTAAGATTCTCACCTTTGACTAAACTCTAACAGTGAGATGCATCTTGTTGATGCACTTCTTGTTTGGCTTGATGCCGACAGAAGAATGTCGGAGAGTAGCCAGGATAACATAATCAACTTGATGGAACAGGTAATGTTTAGAATGTCTGTTACGCCTGTAAATGATATGCCTTTATTCGGAATTTCTCCAAGTACTCTTAAGATAAAACTGGAATACAAAAAATTTCTCCTTGTTTTTATTTCGGCTCATACACATGTTTAGCTTTCTCCAAGTTCTCACTCTAGGATTTTTTTGGATTTCTGGTCAATTATATTGCAGGTCCGTTTCAGCCTTTTGCCACTGTCGTTTATTGCAGGTAATGTCATGACAGACGTGTGGGATATACATTATCTCCTACTTGGTGATATTGCAGGAAAAAAAATTGTTAAGTTTGTTCCCATATTTCAGGAAGAAGCAAGTCTCATGGTTTCTCAAAGTTTGCTGATCAAAGCGTTGAATTGGTTTTTAAACTAATGAAAATGTCATCGACATACTTGGTCGATAGTCTAAGAGATGGCTCTCCTGCTGATCTTAGAGTACGGCTGTCTGAATACTCAGAGGTATCTATTCTTAAATAACCTTCTTCCTGGATTTTAGCTAACCATTGTGTCCGAAATTGTGTTCCATGTTTTTGCTAGAATTTCTACGAGTATTTGTCTAATTATGCCTTTGTTCCCTCAATCAGAGATTGGACCTCTCAGGATGCCCGCAGGTAAATGAAGCCATTTTGCTACTGTCACTACTTCCTAACTCATATTTCGCGAACCCCATGTGGAGAAAGAGTTTGAAGAGTTTCGTAAGGAACCGTGATGATGATGAAAGAAACGAAGAATCTCAGAGAAGTTTACCAGTTTTGTCTTTTGAAACGGTGAACGAGGTTGATATTTCCAAGTGTCAGAGGCTTGATTATAAAGTTGCGATCAAGTGCTTCTCTAAGTCATTCCCATCATTAAGAAAACTGAGAGCTGCTTATCTCTTAAACATCAAGGTGTCCACTATTCTTAAACTTCTCCAGATTTTTCGCCAGCTTACTGAAGTTGACTTAACAGTTGATATCACTCCTACAATATCGTGTCAAGCATCGGTGGTTTACTCTAGTCCATATTTAGCTCAAACTCCCATCCCCTTTGATTCTTTCCAAGGTCAATCGTCTCTCTCGAATATCACAAGGCTAACGCTGGAGGGTAGAAGTGATATAAATGGTTAGTCATTCTGTTCTTTTTTTCGCTACTTTCTTAATCTTCCAATTGTTCCATCTACTGCATCAGTCAGCAAAGTCCAAATATCCTCTGCTTTGACAATGCAAATCTCAACTATTTTTCTTGTTGCTGCTAAAAGGTAGCTTACTGTATGTTTTTATAGCTGATACCTCATTTTTTCATTTCGACAGATATGGATCTACGGAGCATCTCTATATTATGTAATTCATTATGTTACCTGAATATAAAAGGGTGTGCACTACTCTCAGATGCATGTATAGCATATGTTATACAGAGCTGTACAAACTTACACTCTCTTATCGTTTGCTATACCTCTTTTTCGGAGAATTCGATACTGGCACTATGCGCTAGTATATCTATGACCAATGAGCCTCTGGATTCAAATTCACTAGCATCCAATCTTCAGATGCTACACATGAGTAAATGTGATGGTGGGTATCTTTACCATTTCAGTCTCTTTTAATGTAAAAGATCATGGCTTCTAACACTAATATCGTGTTACATTTGCAGGAGCTAATGAGACATGGCTTCTAAACTTGATAGCTCGTACACAGAAAATGAAGAGCCTTTGCTTAAGGGATACAAAAGTTTCAGACAGTGTGCTATGTGAATTCCCTGGCTCTTCCTTGCAAGCACTTGATATTTCAAATACCACGGTCAGTCATTAATTCGTTAGTAGGGCATATCTTACTTTCATATAAGACATAGCGACATTCAAGCGATGTTCTGATTCAGTAATCCATAATGCGTCTAACTTTTAATGCTTGGAGATTTTTACAGATATCTAGGATGGCTCTTACTCGTGTAATTACCAATAATCCTGATCTAAAAAGCCTCAAAGCCAGGGGATGTAAAAATCTGCTTCAGTTACACGTTGATGGGAGAAGTGACAATTTTTTTTCTGGTCAAGATCTGTTTAATTGTTTAGGAAAGGGAAGTAGATTGGAGGAGCTTGAGATTGGTTGGGGATTTTCTTATTTCTCTCTTGAGCCTTTGAGACCTGCAGTTTCGTTCCTACGAGCTATAAGCGTGGGTTTGGGTGCTTCCTTAGGTGAAGATGCATTAAAGCTTCTACCTTCAGCTTGTCCTTTGCTAGAGTCTGTTGTCCTTTATTTTCAGGTAGTTCTGATCCTTAGAATTTCAAAGAGACTTTTTGAAAGAGAGGTGAGTTTGTCATCTTTTCTCATTTTTAACCGATTTTTTTGGGTTTGTCAGGAAATATCTGATTCTGCCTTGACAAGTATTGTGACATCATTGAAGCACCTAAAAGAGCTAGCTTTGTCCTATTGTTATGGTGACATATCCCTTCAAAGTTTCAAGTTCTCTATGCCAAGCCTGAGAAAGCTAAGGCTTGAGAGGGTAACTCGGTGGATGACCAATGATGATTTATTTGTTCTCACACAAAGCTGTCCGAACTTGACCGAGCTTTCGCTAATAGGATGTATACACTTAAATTCAGGTAGAACTTCTTTTTGTTAATGGGGAAACAAATCATCCAACCTCGTAATCGGGTTACCATTTCGTTTGTTCGCGTTGTGTTTTGATTTTAAATTCTCAGATGCTCAACCTATCATCTCAGCTGGATGGCCGGGAATGATTTCTCTTCATCTAGAGGTTTGTTATGACTTTTTAACTTATTAGTAATGTTTTAGTAACACAACTGTAAGATTCTCTTTCATCTTAAGATAAAATGATCTCCAAACCGGAACCTTCTTATAAGAACAGTAATTCGCTTATCAAGTCTTTCTATTTAATTATGTTAACCATGTTTGGATGATAGGAATGCGGTCAGATAACAGAGAATGGTGTCGCTTCTCTCTACGGCTGCGTAGCACTTGAAGACCTTTTACTTTGCCACAACGTGAGTTATCTTTTATATATCACTCTTTGTAGTGCTATGTCGCACTGTCCTCGAATAGAATGTTAAAATCTTTGATGTGTCAAGCTTTATCTGACGGTTTCACGTTTCTGCTTTCTTCAATTCAGGGCTCTGGAATACAGAAAAGCTTCCTTCTCGATGCTGCTTTGAAGGTAAAATACGGCACTCAATGCCTTTATACATCAAGAGATCTTTTTGCTAATTGCGTCTCAACAATCCGCAGTTTCCAATGCTTCGGCTGGTATCTTTGGACGTGTGTGACGCAAAGGAAGGCGACTTCGATGTAGAGGTAAGTAATAACAGAGAACACCTATGGAAAATTTACTCGGTAGCTAGAGAAAATAATAATGAATACGTTCTTTACTAGCTTTAAGATCGAAACAAACAATAGTCGCATGTCAAGATTAAAACTTTGACAATAAAATGAAAAGATTTGTCGATATTTTTTTGGATTGGCAGGAGAAAGAAGGTCGTTTTCTAAGCATTGTGAAAATCAGTAGATGCAAGTCTCGGAGATGCGCAATGGGAAGAGACTTGGCTCCAGTTCTTAAAGAGACGTTGGTTATGTTTTGGAATGGCCAAAACTTCACTGAAACGGTGCTCAAACAAAGACTTTAATTTACCCACTATACACAATTACACATAATGCTGGTTTTGATTTTATTGATTTAGTTGAAAGATTTTGATTTCGAGTTCTTAAATTCAAGTTCGGTTTAGAGTTTGGCTAGTCTTAATTTCTTAACCGATGGTTGTGACTTGTGAGCGATTAAAACAGATACAGAAAGGACACACTTTAACATCCGTTGAAAGACAACTTAGCAGCTATTATAATCAAGCCGGGACTAATTTAAATATAATAATAAATTTTCCTTTTAATGATACTTTGATTATTCTGATTGGTCGAACCGAAGTAGGCATGCCTAACTTTTTTAAAGGGCATTTGG